CCATTTTACTTGTTTCAAATGCTTTTGGACTGTCAGCCAGAGGATTACCCAAGTCATAAAGCAGTCTTTGGGGATCTTAGCAATCCCTAAAATTCTATCAGCTGGAGAAAAGATGCAGCAGGATGCATTCCGAGACTTTCTTTAAAGGACGTTGTGTTTGGATTCTATACATGCCTGCTTTGTCTGGAAGATGGCAGGATGAATAATTTGCATGATCATCTTTCACCTCCAGTAGACTGTAAATTGATTCCTGACCACTCAAGCAACACCAGGGTGTTATGGGGCTGTGGGTGCATTCCTCTGCTTGCCTGTAAGACCCAGCATGCCCTGGCCCCTGCCAAGCCCTCAAACTCCACTTTGGCCAGGCGCCTGCCTTGAACTCTAACTTCAGGCCACAGTAAACAGCTGACAGTGTGCTGAGCCTACCAGGCTTTCTCAAGCCTCTGCTCTTTTGCACATGATGTCCCCCTGCCTGGAACACTTTCTCCCATCCATCCCCTTCACCCTGGTTACCATCTACACATCCTTCAAGACTTAAGCCCTCGTCTCAGCTTATGACCCAATGTGATTTAGGAACATCCTCTATCCTGGTACCTATCATGCTGCATTTTTTAACAGCTTTACTGAGATATAATTTGCAAACCACACAATTTACCCATTTAAAATGCACAATTCAACTGTTTTTAGTATATTCAAAGTTGTGCAATCAACACATTTTGGAATATTTTCATCACCCCAAAAAGAAATGCCATACCCATAAACACTCAATCCCCATTTCCCTACCAACAACTCCCCACTCCCCCATCCCCAGGCGACCACTAATCTACTTTCTCTATGGATTTGCCAACTCTGGACATTTCATATCAAAGAAACTATATAACATATGGTCCTTTGTGACTGGCTTCTTTCACATAATATTTTTGAGGTTGATCCATGCTGCAGCATGTATCAGTACTCCATTCCTTTTCATGGCTGGATAACATTCCACGTTATGAATATACCACATTGTGTCTATCTACTCACCAGCTGGGGGACATGTGGGGTGTTTCCACTTTCTGACTGCTGTGAATGATGCTGCCCTGCTCTCAATCACATCCTGTCATGTACGAGTTTCTGTGTGGACGTGTGTTTTCACATCTCGTGGTTATACACCTGGAGTGGAACTGTGAGTCACACAGTAGGTCTCTGTTTAACCTTTTCAGGAACTGCCAGACTATTCTCCACAGCGGCTGCATCATTTCACGTACCACCAGCAGCAGCACAGTGTAGGAAGCAGGGCTCCAATTCCCCCGGCACCTATCTTATGATACCCCTCAGAGAAGGCTAAGCAAACGATCAGATGGATGGATTAGCAGGAGCAACCCGCCTGCCTCTGCTCTGACTGACTGGGAAATGTTCCCTAAAAAAGGAGGTCAGCGGTGCGCTCACGGCGCTCACTGGCTGAGCGCGGTGCGGCCAGTCTCAAAAAGGACAAAAA